CACTGGCTGTGTAATGCCGGTGTTACAGCCAAAATCCGGCCATATGACCAATAGTGTCGCAGCCAAAGTCTGGCCATGCAACCAATGGTATCATGACAAGAACCTGGAAAGTTAACCCCTTAGTGGAAAATAAAAAAGCAAGTACCATAGGCTCTCTGCACAGAAGAGAAAAGCCCTGACTGACCGCAGCTGAGGATCTTGAGAGGCCCTGCAATTCCCACACAGGCAGTCTGAGGATGGAGAGGCAGGATCCATGAACCATGCCTCTTCAACTGGTCTTCCCCTCTCCAGTGGGAACGCTGCCTAAGGAGTCATTAGGGACCGAATTCTACCTGATGGTATTCCCACATCCCCTGCACCTGTAAAGCACTCTGCAGATGACTCACACATTGCACACTGCAGAGCCCATTGCCCAAGGACACATTACATGTCGGTCCGGCTTCTTACTCTGAGCAGGTTCGGGGTATGGCTCCCATAACAAAGCCAAGAGTCAGCTGATCTGGAAATCTGCAAAATTAGCCACTTCTGGCTCTACAGACACTTGCTACAAAATAATTTTGATAAAAAGAAGAGAGGATTTTGCTATCCTAGGATGGTCAGTCCTTAAAAATTTGAATTGTGAGAAGAGAGTTTTAGTGGTGAAAACGCATACCAGAGAGTACTGCATCCTTCGAGCAGCTGGACCTGGGAACCCTGTGATTGTGATGGGATGGCAAAATGTCCAGTGTACCACAACTTTGACAAATCTGATGAAATGCTACCTAATGGAGGGACCATTCCCCAGGGTCAATGTGCTGTCAACAAAGTCTGCCTACCAATTATCTACTATGGGTATTGGAACCGCTATGAGTCCAGGACTTGAAGTTACACCCAGCAGACGACGTATTCTATCTTTTACGCTGTGGCCAGACTTCATGTGCTGCTTTGATGTTCTAGTGCAGGTGCATTATCAGAATGGATCATCAGTGGGTCGCCTTTCAGTTTCTGGGTCCTATGCCCCTGTACAGTCAGGGAGCTGAGAACTTCTTCCCAACCTGAGATGCTGAGCATTCCCACAATCAGGCAAAAAGGAGTGACCCTGTTGCACCATCTCTGATTAAAGCCATCACAGCAGAGGCACCTTGGTAAAAGATTAATTTCCTTGTACAGGCAAAAAGGTGATCTGTCCAAGATTAAAAGTATGTCTTTCTACAGAGCTCTGGTGTGGGACTGAGCAACCAGGAATCATCTTGATGGATGAGGCCTTGAGCCACATGCATCTGGGTAGAAGGGACCTGTGGTGCATCTAGATGATCTGAACCTATAGCCTTAGCATTTTTTATTTTTCCTTGCTGACCTGATTTCTAGGATTTCAGGTCCACTCTAGGCATTGTTGGCACACGGGTAGTCTACTAGTCACTCAAAATTCCATAGAGGTTGCAAAGTGATCTTCAGACTGCGATTGCCGAGTGGACACCACCTTGATGATCAGACCACTGAGATAGTCCTTTGTTCCTAATTCTGCTAGGACTGGGGCTAGAAGGTTGATAAAAACACTGGCAGCTATGTACCCCACTACACCCATACCATTATGGACATACCTAAAACTTCACCATTTCCTCAACTCCCGAACGAACAGAAGCTCCTTTTCTCGCTGTTTAACTCCATTTGAGAAGCTATGCACTTCCTCCCAGAGGGTAACGCATGCAATATCAGCAATTTATTCCCTTTTGAACGACTCCTCTACCCTTCCACCGACACCCTCCACAAGGGCGTGGGAATGCGATTTGTCCACTACATTCTCAACACAGGACTGGTAACGCATGGATTCTTTGCTGCTGGGTGGCTCATTAAACATTTAGATTCAGGAGACTAACTACAAACTAAGTTTGCCCTGATACAAGACCCCAGTCCTACTCCATCGTATCTATCCAGACGCCCCTGATATATGTTGGCGATGCAATCAGGAGGTGGGGGCACACTCCTCCATATATGGTGGTCATGCTCATTGATTTCACCTTTTTGGACAGAGGTTCATGTCCTACTTAGAACCATAACTGGTGTTTTGTTAGAATTCTCCCCAGCCTGCCTCTTATATCATTTTGATGAAGCTCACCACATCTCTAAAAAATCCCTCCCAATTTATCTGCTGAACCCCCCGAAAACCTTGATTCCTAGACATTGGAAATCACCCCATCCACCGACAGTCCGGGAGTGGCTCTCTCGGGTGGATGCAATGTTGACCATGGAGGAACTTATCTTTTCCAGTAGGGATGACATGCCCAGATACCTAAAAACCAGTGGACAGTGTGGCATCCATTTAAGGACTCAGATGCGTACAACGCTCTTCAGCGGTGACTGTTTACTTCTCCTCCCTCTTCTGTGCTCTCACCCCTCCTCTCTACTGCTAACTACCTCTTCCTTCCCTCTACCTTGTCCCTCCCCCAATCTTTCCTTTTTCTTCCCTTTTTACACCTCTTTACCCTCTAGGTAGGTTGCCTTTCCTGATAACCGTGCAAGATCCCACAATGTATACTGCTCCTTGGGTAATGCCCTTCCTGTCCCCCTCCCCCATGTGTACAGGGGCCACGATAACTTTGCAGCACTACTGAGGCTTGATTGTCCCTTTATCCTGCCTATTTACTGTCTGTGAAGGTTCTCATTCATCCAGGCCATGGTATATCTGTAAAAAATAAGTCAAGGGAACTGCACTTGCTGTATTTTTCTTGAAGACGTTTCACTGGACATCCGACCAGCTTTCTCAATTCAGAATGACTTGTACAAAAAATTATCTGGGAATAAATATGGTGAATTTCACTCCAATCCACATAATCTGTTAGTCACAACCATGTGTTGATTGCATTTGCATAATTGGAGTATAGGAGGTGTTATTAACCTGCCCAGAGAGAGTTGTTAAAGCAGCATGGTATGTGTCAGACAATAGATGTCTCACCCCCCACCTCTATTCAAGCTTGGCTTCTCCATTTTTACATAAATGGCCTCTTTCACACCTCTTTTAAACCAGTCCTCCTCCCTGTCTAGGATGTGTACTTGACTGTCTTCAAAGGAGTGACCTTTTTCCTTTAGATATAGGTATACTGCCGAATCCTGACCAGAGGGATTTTCTCTTCTATGCTGTGCCATGCGTTGGTGTAGCTGCTATTTTGTTTCACCGACATACAATTCTGAGCACTCCTCACTGCACTGGACTGTGTACGCAGTCCAATACCACCAATGACACTCGAATACAGTATATCTTTCTACTCCACAACTCACCCCCTCAGTGTCCTTGCGTGTCACTAATCTACTACCTGACATGTCAGTCTGGATGTCACAACACTTCTTAAAACTTGAGTGGGGCAACTCAGAATAATAACGTGCTGCATTAGTGTGATCCTAGTTCATTTTATTACTTCATTGCTGTGCTGTATGTGTATAGGCCAATGCCTTTGCTGGCGCTCGTGCAGAACAAGTACCCACCAGCCCAAGTGACTCCGTTGGCGAACGAAGGGAAGGAGTCAGGTGACATCACGGACATTGACGTCACCTGACCCCTCCCCCTTCCCTTCGTTAGCCGTCACGGACATCGACGTCACCGGACTCCTCCCCCCTTCCCTTCGTTAGCCGACGGAGCCACTTGGGGAAGGAGTCCGGTGACGTCGATGTCCGTGACGTCACCGGATCTCCGACGGGACTCCCCAAAGCCGGCGCAGAGGTGAGTGTTTTCATTTTTGATCAAAATTATTTTAATCGATCAAAAAGTTTAACGATTAATCGTTAATTTCCGCAGCCCTAAAAAAAATACAAACTCGGAAGTTACCATTGCTGAAAACTGCATGCAAAAACTTGTTAATCAAGCAGAAGATCCAGAAGTTGCATACAAATCTCAGCTTTTATTATAAATGCCATACTTGGTCTACCCCTCCTAATTCCTGAGTTTCTCTACTGTTGGGGGGCATCAATTATCAATAGGGTAGCTCAGGAGACAAATAAGTGGGGCAAAGAGTTCACTGAGTAAAAATTCTGACAACATATTTTTTTCATCATATTCTCAGTTTAAATTGCAGAGGTTTGTGAGATATTTACTTTAAAAAAATAATGTCACTAAAGTGACAATGTCTCTGCAAAAGTCATCCCCATTATACTCACCTTGCCTGCACTCCCTTGCCCCTCCTTCCTCCTCCATAGCTGGCATAGAAATTGGCTTTGTCAGCAACATTGCTCTGTAGTTCATGTGACCTTGATTGGGCCCAGTGGTTGGCTGATAAACTTGGGCACCATCACAGAAAAGCAGTTCACATGCTCCTATAAACCTAGAAGTGCAAGGTATTCTCAACTGCTGTGGAGGAGGCAGTAGCAGCAAGGTAGAGCCAGTGTGGTGCATATATAGTATAAGAAGGGCAGGGAATTCCCTTTGCTGAAGCAGTGTCACTTTGGTGACCGTATCTCTCTAAAGTTAATTTCAAGCAAACCTCAGCAATTTAAACTGAGCATATGAGTTTAGCCATACAGGGCAAAATGACAGTGTCTGCTTAAAGGAGAACTATGGGGTCAGGGATTTTCCCCATAGTTCTCCTAAGGGTCACGGTAGAACACAAACTAGCGTGCTCCTGTGACTCAAAGCTCAGTATACAGCGAGCTACAGCGAGCGGTATAATGAGACGCCGCAGCCGGAACGGATCCCTACAATACTGTCTGGATCCGCCCAGCTGCGTGAGTGACAGCTGGCTCTGCCTATCTAGAGGCAGAGCCAGCTGTGTGAAAATTACTTGCCTCATAATTCTCCTTTAATGTTTGCAGTGCAACTTTCTACATTTTAGTGAATCAAGAAGGGTAACTCAGTAGCACAGGCAGTTATTAAAGACATTTTGATTAAAACGGTCCAATTTCTTGATCTTTCCTGTCCTGTAGAACATATGACAGTGGGAGAGAATGTAGCCGTTACTTATATATCCATGTAGTATATTGAAAAAAACTTTTTTGGTGTGTTGACATAACAAACTGTAGAATTCCTGACTTACCGCTTCATAACACCAGTCTTTAAGGACATCAAGATCACCTCTGATCATAGCCTAGAAAATAAGTAGGATCATTAAAATCTACTATTAAAAATACATATAGTCAATATATACCTTTAGAAAACTGCACTAAAGAAAATTTAGTAAATAACAATGCTGCAATAATTACACATTTTGTGATGCATAGATGCCGAGACTAAATTTAGCAGTGTCAGTTAACTTGACAATAACTCTAACAACTTTTTCTTCCTAAGTAATCTTTACATTTTTTTTAAAGTGTATGTAAACACTAAAGATCAACTTCTCTTATTTGTACTTTTTGGTCTGTTACCAATAAAAGATTTTTGTTTTATGTCCTGATCAAATCATTTTATTGTTATTTTTATCTTTTTTTTATATATCAGTTTTATTAACATTATCGAAAATTACAAAACAAAACACACAAAAATCTTCCCCAAAAAAATAAAAAAATATAGAAAACAACAAAATGAGACACTAAACCATCACTAAACCATCCAAAGGGTAAAAGGATTATGGGGCTCTGGAGTGTCAATAGCCAGAGACTTTCTCATGCACAATCAGGACATACAAATATACAGTATAACAGGTAGCCTAATAAGCGTTGTAACAATAAGAGGCCCAACAACAACCTATTCCACAGGGTGCTAAGTCCGCAGACCGCGAATCTACTGTACTCCAACACAGGTGTCAGTCTCATCCCCTTAAAAACAACAATGAAAACATAGGTAGAAAAGAAAACAGGGAAGTTGGAGGGAAAGGAATAAAGTAAACAAAAAAAAAGGAAGTTGGAGGAGGGCCTGGAGAGTCAAGGGTCCCCGACACTTAGGATATCAAAAGAGGTGAGTTAAGAGATAGAAGTCTAATCAATCTCCCAATGTGTGGAACTGAGTGGTATCATGGAAAATGAACTAAACAGTCCAAGTAGCAGAGAATTGGGAATATCTATTATATAAATGAGCTGTCATCTCTTCTATATGCGTGAGACAACTTGCGTTATTCTACCCATATCAAAAAGGAGGGTGTTAGGTCTGATTTCCAGTGTTTCAGAATAACTGCCCTCGCTGCCATGAAGATAAAACAAAAGGGCCCCTTTTTAAAAGATGCTAAAGAGCCAGCTAACATGAAAAGAAGGACCACTTGAGGAGTCGTAGGACAAGAGGACTTTCGTCATCCTGTCATAAACATCAAAAACCATTACCCAAAATAGGGGAAATTTGAGGACAATGCCACCAAAGCATACCAACCCCTGTGTGACGAAGCCAACACAAATTGGAAGTACCTTGGAAGATCTTACTCTGTTAGGACGATAGTTCCATCTGGTAGGCATTTTAAAATTTCTCTCCCGGATCATGCTGGAGATGGTAAGTGTATGTGTTAGCACACTGGACGTGGTCGTTACATCTTCCGTAAAAGTGCAACCAAGCTCCCTTTCCTAATCTGACAGATATGTTGGAAAGATAGGGTAGATATGAGAAATCAACATTTTGTAGAGTGTGGAGACTGTGTGCACAGGTCCGGAGGACTGCAGGCACAAATCTTCAAAAACGAGTGTGGACCTTATGAGGGTCAGCTCAGCGAAGCATGGAAGTTAAAAATACAGCAGCCAAATGCCTGCAGGCCTTGACAAACTTGACATCTGAGAAGGGAAAGGTAACATACCTGAAGAAGCAAAGGATGGTTTCATAGTTGACCAGAGAAGTAATGCAGTCTTAGAAAGGCCAGGCGGACAATCTGGGTTTCCTAGAACCGGTGTCATGGGACCTTCATATGAGAAGGTGTCATAAGATTTAATAAGATTATCCTACACCTGGAGTAAGGAAGGAACACAAAAAGGGAAGGATAGTGTCTGGGGTCAGTGGGAGGGCCTGACCCATGGTAAAGAAGTCAGTGGGAGTGGTGATATAAGTTTGGTGTGGATGTTGAGATCTAAATTAAGTATTAAGATTGGTCTGTCATTTGCAGAATTGGGAGGTCCTTATTTTCTTTGGGAATGACTGTAATGAAAGTTTCCTGTAATTGTTTCAGAAAAATGACACGACTTGGAAATAGCATTATATGTCATCTATAGTATGGGTTCAAAGAGTCTTGGAGAGATGAATAGGAAATGAAGGTAAACCTGTCTAGGCCTGGGTTATTGCTTGCTAGTAGTGACTTAATGACCTTAATAATCTCCGCTGAGGTAATGGGTTGAGATAGGGAAGTAATCGTCTCATCAGAGAGTTTCAGAAGGCCCGTAGAGGAAACATAGTGATGTAAAGACGTTAGATAATCCGGGACTATGGAGGGAATGTTGCATAACTGAATGTTGTATAAACCCGCAGCAATGTGCTCTGAAGTATGGACGCATCCCTGAGACAGGCAATGGATCTTTGAGATATAAGTACAAGCTTGTTTACATTGAATAGATCTTGCATGAAGCTTCTCACTTTTATTAACAAATTCATGATGTGCCCAGAGAGTAAGATTGGTCAAGAAGTCGCAACAAGTCAGCCCTTTTGGTCGTTAGAATCTCATAGGTCCAGGGGTCAGGACGATGTTTATGAGCACGCTCGAGTTCATAGATATCAGACAGATGGGTGTTTTTTTATGTCAATTGGCGAGTTCCATGTTTAATTAAATGTCACCACAGAACGTGGCAAGCTGCCAAACCGGAAGCAAGGAGGGAGGAGCGAGGAGAGACACACGCAACGGAAGCCGGGTGCCAGGAGTGCCATCGCGGACTGGATTGGAGAGCAGGCGATCGGATTGGAGCAGTGACCGGGACCCGGACTGCAGAGTGGTGACCTGGGCTGCAGGAGCCTGTGTGGGTGAACAGTGCTGCGAGAGGGGAGCGAGTGGTCAGCAGGTGGGAGAGAGCTGTGTTGAGTGGTCTGAGTGTGTGGTGAGATCAGTGCCACAAGAACAGAGGAAGCAATTGTACAGGGTGAGTGAGGTAATCGTTGCTGCAAGCTGTGGCGTGAAACTGCGAGTGGAGTGGTGAGAGGGGTGAACTGAGGGTTAGTAATTGCTTGGCATTCTGTGGTTAAAAAAAAATTATATACTGCTGGGATTTAAGTGCATTATTTGCTGGGCATTAGTTGTATTATCTGCTGGGCAATAAGTGTATTATCTGCGGGGCATTCATTGTATTTTTGGCTGAGCATTAAGTGTATTATCTGCGGGGCATTAATTGTATTATCGGCTGGGCATTTTTTTTATTATCTGCAGGGCATTAATTGTTTTATCTGCTTGGAATGAAGTGTATTACCTGCTAAGAATAAAGTGTATTACCTGCTGGGAATTAAGTGTATTATCTGATGGGCATTAAGGGAAATAATGACTGGGCATTAAGTGTAATAATTGCTGGGCATTAAGTGTATTAACTGTATTAGAGTAATAACTGCTGGGCATTAGGTGTATTAACTACTAGGTATTAAGTGTATTAACTGTCGGGGGTCAAGGGAAATAACTGCAGGGCAGTAATGTAATAACTCCTGGGCATTGGTATAATAACTCCTGGGTACTAGTGTAATAACCGCGTCAGTACATCTGGGACTAAAATAAATAACCAGTAAAAAAAAAACAACTTGGGATGTAAGTGTATTATTTGCTGGGAATTAAGTGTATGTTTTGCTGGGATGTAAGTGTATTATTTGCTGGGAATTAAGTGTATGTTTTGATGGGATTTAAGTGTATTATTTGCTGGGAATTAAGTGTATTGTTTACTGGGCATAAATTGTTATCTGCGGGGTATTGATTATTATCGGCTGGGCACTAAGGGGGCAACTCTGGGGAATTAATTACTATCGGCTGGGGCATTAAGTGTATTATTTAAATGTCATTAATTATTAATTATTATCGGCTGGGCATCAAGTGTATTACCTGAGGGGCATTCATTATTATTGGATGGGCATCAAGTGTATTACCTGAGGGGCAATAATTATTAATTATCAGCTGGGCATCAAGTGTATTTTCTGCAGGGCACTAATTGTATTATCGGGTGGGCATTAAGTGAATTATCGGCGGGGCATTAATATTATTACTTGTATAAGCTGGGCATTAAGTGCATTATTTGCGGGATAATGAATTATTATAGTCTGGGCATTAAGTGTATATCGGCTGGGCATTAAGGGAAATAGCGACTGGGCATTAAGTGTATTACCATATCAAAGTAATAACTGATAGTACTAATAGTGTATTAACTACTAGGTAAGAAGGGTAATAACTGCTGGGCGTCAAGGGAAATAAGTGTAATAACTCCTGGGTACTGGGCTGACTTCTCAGTCGGTTACCGGCTCTTTAGCAGAGATGGGCTGCATCTTAATGGGGAAGATGCAGCACTTTTGGGGGAGAAAATTATTAAAAGACTGGAGGAGCTTTAAAACTAGATAATGGGAGGGAGGGAATAAAAATGGATATAATAAATATAGAGCAAGTAACTATAGGGGCGATTAATATTGAGGGCTGTAATACAAAGGGTGATAGAGGGCTCACTACAGTCAATCCAGCCAATCTAGTAAATCAAATCCATCCACTCAATCTATTAAGTAATGTATCAAGTAATGTATCAAGGCCTAATAAAAAAAAAGTAGTTGGGCACCAGAAATGTGTAATAATGTAATTTAAACTAGCACCAAACTTAAATGTATGTACACCAATGCTAGAAGTTTAGCAAACAAATTAGAGGAGCTTGAAGTTATGCTACTCAAGGAGGACTTCGATATAGTGGGAATAACAGAAACTTGGCTAGACAGCTCACATGACTGGGCAACTACTGTACAAGGGTACAACCTGTTCAGAAGGGACAGGATTGGTAGAAGGGGTGGAGGGGTATGCCTATATGTAAAAAACAATCTAACTGTGCACATACGAGATGACATCAATACAGAGGGTTGCGATGGTGTTGAGTCTTTGTGGCTGGAACTGGACAAGACTGATGCTAGTCATAAACTAATGTCAGGGAACTACGAGTGCTGCTCCTTACCGGGGTCGCCAGTGGCGGGGCAGTGCACGGGGTCTTCTTCTCCCTGGCAGGACTCCTGGCGCAGGGGTCG